TGATTGAGCAATAAACCCATTGCTAATCCCTCACAGCAATTTAATATAAATCTGTTCACATCAGCAGGTTATCTGAGGTCCTCCATCCGTATTTTCAGTTGCAGGCCGAGTTATTTTTGCGTTCCCCTCTGTCATGTGGATGGAGGACCTCAGATAACCTGCTGATGTGAACAGATTTATATTAAATTGCTGTGAGGGATTAGCAATGGGTTTATTGCTCAATCATCCATCTTAAAAYGGCACAGGAAGAGCTGTCTTATAGACAAACTAGTTAGGTTTATAGTGTTCTTTTTCTGACTCTTCTTAGTGTTTCCAGACCACCGGTGTATATTTTTGACCAGATAATAATAGCTGCTACACACTCCCCACCTCTGCACTTAGCTTCTTCRCCATTTCTGAAAACAACAGACCCTCTGCAGTGCCTGTGAGCGCACAGGCAGGAAAAGGACAGACTTACGGAATAAATCTGCAAACGGATCTCTGCCACCGAAGAATTCCCTGAAAACGTCCTCAGGATTACGGAATGTGAAGTTGCTGCTGCCAAAGTGATTGAAGTGGCCTCCTGTAATTAATTGCAGAAGAAAAAGAAAGATTTTTAAACACACCTTTGAGCTATACAATTAATGAAAATATTATCAATCAAATATCAAACTGTTAAATTCTCGCCATAAATCAAAAAGGACTTTGTTATAATTTATGAAAACGTTTCAGTCCTTTATATAAGATTAAACAGTTATAACAATTTTAAAATGTATTTTCTTACCACCGCCTCCTCCTCCTGAAAGGCCTTCTTTTCCGTATCGGTCATAAATATTCCTTTTGTTTTCTGGGACACAAAATAAAATGACTTCAGAAAAGAAGAATCAGTTAAAAAATTATTTCTTTTTCACATCTAAGATTGTGATAGTCTTCAAATTGTTCTCTTAATTTCACAGAAAATGTAAGCTGAATTTGATTACGAATAACAAACCAACAAATCATTCCCAAATTATTTCACAGATATCCTGTTCATTGAAGAGAGTCAGAATTTCAACTTGAATAAAAACCTCATTTCAGCAAAGAACTGCTGATCAGTCAGAGTCTTACCGCAAAGTCATCTCATAAAAACACAAAGTAAAAAAGAAACGCATAAAAAGATTTTTGGTGTGATAACAAAGGAGACAAGCATTTCAGCATTCCTAACAACGAACCGAGTAAATTCTTTGGAATTGCTGACACAATGACTCGCCATTCCCCACAATAGGTGTTTGTATAGCTCTTAAAAATATAATTAGAGTAAGTTTAAAAGATGTCACGTTGTATTTTCGAACAACTTAATTTGCTAACAGTTAAATTATTTAATGGCTTTGAAAATATTAAGATAGCTGAGATTAGAAAAAAACATTGATAATAAAAATTTGAAGTGACTGGTATTAAATGTACTGATGCATCTCAGTAATCCAGGTAAAAAATCAAAAGGAAAAAWTTTTTTTCTCCTACAGTGCTGCCATTGGCAGTATCACTCCACCCACTGTTAACAATAGGTGTTAATTAGGTGTGAACGATAGCCATGTGATGTAAGTATCAGTCACCTGGAGGCAGGACTCAAAAGCCTGAATTTTGCCTGAAACTAGACTGAAGAAGTCTTGGAGGAGACGAAACGTTTCATTAAAGAAGAACCCGTCCAGAAGACCTATACAATTTTTTTCCTTTTGACTGGTATTAAAAATATAAATAGCACACTTAAGACAGTTTATTTGTCAAGTAAAATCTTACCATCTGAGAGGACTTCATAGGCCTCTGACAGCTCTTTGAACTTCTTCTCTGCCTCCTCTTTGTTGTCTGGGTTCTTATCTGGATGCCATTTCAGTGCTAATTTTCTGTAACTGAAGCACAAATAAAAAGTTAAAAGCACTAAAAAAAACACAATGGTGTTAAAGATTTTATTTATTGAAAACAATTAACTGAGTTTACAAAAAAACAGAAGGACACTGTGACCTGCGATCATGGTCAAAATAAAGAATTTCTAAATATTTTGAAATTCCCACTTCCTGTTTCAGTCTTACTTAATATAGCAGCAAAGTTCTCAAAATTAGGTAAATAAAACTTTAAATTGTCCATAAAAAACGTAAAACATGAAACTTTGTTATATTCTTCTCACATGAAACACTTTTTATGTTATACAGTATTATAAATTCTAGAAAGTATGGTTAAGTCTTGTAAACACAATATTAACAACTATCACAGCTTTTTACATTGTGATAATGATCAATCTCTGTATGACAACTTTATTTTGTTTATGTTAAATATCAGTTTTTCTTTACAGCTTTACAGTTGTTTTGTTAGGTTCATTTTGTACTCCAATTAAGACGAGCACCCTTTTGTTTCACTCTATTTTTAAAGAAAACCGGACTTGACAAGCTCATTTTGAATAACTACTTGACGCCACCCATCAATTTGGGAAGAGTTCCAAACAAGCTGGAGTTGACCCGTTTTCACTGAGGAAGATTATTCACAAGTGGAAAACAAGCAAGACAAATGCTGTTTCTCCAGGTTTGGATGACCCTTCAAGTTCAGCTTAAGTTCAGGTCAGCGCATAAAACCAGAAGAAACAACTCAGAGCTACATTTCGGTCTCTTCTTGTCACAGTTAACTTGTAAAATGTTACAGCCACTGACAGTGCAGTTAAAAATAAATTAAATAATTATGACTTGTTTATTCCTGATTACTTGCTCAAAGAAAGATCTTTTTTTAATAAAAACAAGGCACAAGAATTTTGTTTTAGTTAAAGGTGTTAAAACAATGTAGATTAGGGGTGCACCAATAGATCGGCGGGCCGATAGATCGGCCCAATTCCCTTAATTTTAGGCGATCTGCGATCGGCAGATTTTTACATGAGAAAAAATTTTTTCTGCCGATTTTATCTACTTTCGCAAAGTTCCAAAAATCAGCTGCCTGTCCCCTTTTCCTCTGCTGTGTGTGCTGCTGTGAGAGAGGCTGACAGACCCGCCCACCAAGTCACATCGTCTGCACATGCATTATTACAGTTCACTCAGAGCAGGCGTTATGTCGCTGGTTTGGTAGTATTATACTGTTAAAGAAAACGACCAAAAGGTAGCTATGTGCAATATATGTAAGACTGAAGTTTGTCGTGGTGGAGACAAAATCAGATCCTTCAATACTATAAACCTCGTTCGCCATTTAAGGAACCACCACGCCGCTGAGTATGCAGCATTTGAAGAACGCAATCAAGCTAAGGCTAAGGCTAAAGCTAGCAGAAGCACAAAGCCAGCAGGCCCGATGTTAGCTCTTCTGAGCAGTGAAAAGAGCAAAGCAACTACGAGGAAAATTATAGAGTTTATGGCATTGGACGATCAGCCGTTTTCAGTCGTCGAGGATCAAGGTTTCAGAAACTTGATGCAGCACTTGAACCCACGATATAATCTGCCCAGTCGAAGATACTTTTCCGACATTGCGTTACCGGAGTTGTTTGACCAAGTTTTGAAACACACGCGCGGCCTGCTAGCCGATGCTAAACAGCTCAGCTTTACAACAGACATCTGGACTTCTGATGTAAGTTTAATGTCCATGTTGAGTCTCACTGCGCAGTGGATTGACGAACAATTTGAACGTCATCAGGTACTTTTAAACTGTAAAGAAATGCCGGGGTCTCACACTGGGGCCAACTTAGCAGCAGAGTTTAAGGCGATGCTGGATCAGTGGGGAATTGATCATGCTAAAGTTCATGTTGTTTTACGGGACAACGCTCGTAATATGGCCAAAGCACTGGATGACGCCAAYTTGAAAAGTTTGCCATGCCTGGCACACACACTGCAACTGGTTGTAAATGAGGGACAGTTAGCGCAGTGCAGCATCGCAGATATTGTCGCAGCAGGAAGGAGAATTGTTGGGCATTTTAAACATTCATSGCTTGCCTATTCCAGACTCTACGACATACAGGCTCAGTTAGGTCAGCCCAGGAAGCAGCTGCAACAAGACGTTTCAACGAGATGGAACAGCACAGTCTACACTAACCATCCTTGCACCTTTTGAGGAGCTCACTAAGGAGATCAGCTCATCAACAGCTACAGCTGCAGATGTCATCCCAGCCATCACTGCAYTCAAGCGGCTTCTGGAGAGGCGAGCAAATACAGACCATGGAGTGGGCACAGCCAAAGCCACACTGTTGGAGGCTGTTGTGAGAAGATTCAGCACCATAGAGCATGAGCCCCTGTACAGCTTGGTCACTATTCTTGATCCAAGGTAAGTAACTATGAATACTGTATTTTCTACACAAAATGATTTTTAACCTACTACTATATTTCTGTGAACATTTAAATTAAAATTTGTATTTTATTAAAATGTTTTTTTACATGCAGGTCATAAAAATGTATGATGTTTATAAAAACACAGTGAATGACATATTTTTCTTTCTTTATGCAAAACAAGGTACAAGAATCGCTACTTCTCAGCACAAGTGAGAGACGAGGTGAAACAGCTCCTTTTGGCCAAACTTGTAGAAAGGGAGACCAGATGCACACCTGTGGATGAAGAACCTGTTAGAGGATCATCAGCTGAACTGGGACCTCCTGACACAGATGCCCCTACAGCCAAAAGGTTCAGTCTACTGTTTGCAGTACACAATGAAATCCTGCAGGAGAACATAGATAAGGAGCAACAGCTGGCCAGCCCTTCAGCCATGCAGGTACAGAACTACTTATCTGAGGYTCCCATCGACAGGAACCAGGACCCATTGGCCTACTGGAGGCTCAATGAAAATCGTTTCCCTCATCTTGCACTACTTGCCCGAGCCTATCTTTCTGCCCCATGCACAAGCATTGAAAGCGAGCGCCTGTTTAGCTTGGCTGGACATGTAGTAGATGAGAAAAGAAGTCACCTGCTGCATTAGAGCATCTTTTGCACTACAAGGAAACCTAAAACTCAAAACACTTCATTGGT